TCAAAAAAAACGATCGTTAGAAGCTTCCTCAATACTGAAACTGTTTAGGACAAGCACGAGTGCTAGTCCAAAAGTGATAAAGCTACTAGCTATTGTCCAAAAATTTTTTTACTGACTGCAAAAAAAAGTCAAAAAAACATAAAAGCCGGCTTCGTGCACGATGTTTTATCACACCGGTTTCAGCAAAATTTTAATTTTAACACTTTCTTATTTTAATGCTTTCTTAAAAGGAAAAACTGCAAAATTTCAATACTTTCTTAAAACAAACGAAAAAAAAAACAATTACTTCTGAGCGATCAGTGACGGAAACGTCATTTTCTGGCTTACTGCTTTGCTGTCTGAGATAGTAGGGAACACCAAGTCCTTGCATTGAAAGGGCACAAAGCATTTCATTCAAATCTTTGATTCCTAACTTATTACAAAATTCTGTCGTTTGTGGATTCCTGAAAAATATGCAGTTCCATAAAGCACTTCTTCACAAAAAAAACTTACTACTTTTGCTTCACAATGATATTTCGACTAAAAATCACCCTGTCGCAAAGCCCTAATGCATCATATATCCCTGAGAACCGCATCATAACAGTTGTCACCAATGTTTGTCACTGCATAAATACGTCTATTGATGTCCATGGTATTCGCAAATACCGCTTTTTTTTCATTTTAGAAAGATATGCTAAATGTAAAATGGCCTCTCCGGTCATTTTTGCTCGCCTATTAACGATCCTTCCTTTCGCCTCCCTCCATTCAAACGACACAGGCACCATTACTGCAAAAGCCCGGATCTAAAGCTATAACTAAAGCTTAAAGTAATTCTAAGTAGCGGTGTCACAGCTCTATTCCTAGTTTTTGCACAGTTCCAGGATGGAGGAGACTCTCGTCTTCATCCCCCCTCCCTCGCCGCTTTCCCGGAGGCCCCACTGTCTCCTCCTCCAACCTCCATCGCCTCCTTCCTCTCACCCCTCTTTCTAGAAATCCGTCCTAAATCCGCTTATGTCCACCATAGCGCTCAGCGCTCCACAGTGGAATCAAAATAAGACAAACAAATGCAAAGCACCACCAATGAAAGCATAGAAAGCTTGGATTATTGGAAAATTGTAATACATCCTACTCTCCCCACCCCCTTTCCCTCAAAGAAATAGGACGACGGGGCGGGGAGGCAGGAGGAGGAGAGGAAGCCGGGGGGGGAGGGGGGGGAGGGGCAGGAGGACAATTGCAACGACAACGATTTTACCTGTAATAAAGTTCTTCAGCGACAGGGCCTTCCTGTGAACAATGCGGCTCCGCTGTCATTTGAAAATTCATTGGGATTACGAAATTGTCGCCAAACAACTCCTTCACTTCATTCAGTTCTTCTTCAGTTGGCCTAAAATCCCAGCGCTCGTTGCGTGTATGGTGCGATGGCATATAAGTTTTCTGAAAAAAAAAAAAACTTAATTCGAATCGTTTTAGCAGATTGATACAGCAAATATAAAAAAGGTATCGGGAGAAATAGTATTTACAAAAAATTCAAAAAAAAAAAACACATACAAAAATTTCAGCTTAATTTTTCAAAGATATTTGGAATTATCTGGGCTTGCAAGTCCGAACTCAACCATAAAATTTCCAAAAATCTTAACATTAACCGCTTTGTTTGTTGATGTGAACGCATCTGTTGCTTTCAGAATAGCCAACCACACTGGATCATATGAAAGGCACATCGATGCATTCTCGTCCACATCAAATTCTAAAACCTATAAAATTCCATAGGACTCGAATTAAAAAAGAGGATTGAAAAAACCCCTCAAGTGACCGCACTTTTCGAATGAATTCTTGAAAGCAGAAGTCCTGTGAGGTTCACAAAAAAAAAAAAAAAAAAATTTCGAAAGCAAAAAAAATAATGCAGCTCACGAACATATAATGATGACCAAAAGTGTCGTAGGTTTAATAAAATCGACAAAATTTTTTCAAAAAAACCGATTAAAAAAAATAAGTTTTGAATCACCTGCAGGAAATGTCTCCCGGAAATTGGCTTATCCAGTGCTAAGAATCGTGTTGGCTCAAAATCATCATTTTCAGCATCCTCATTGTTGTTTGGATGTGGCACCAGTGCAGAAAAGGAGCAATGCATATGTGCTGCGAACCAATAACGTGGTTTTAGTTCCTGAAAATAGTACAAAAAAATTTCCATTCTCTCCTATTATAACTTTCTGTTACAAAGCAAAATGATATTCGAAATCCCGTTTGACCCAAAAAATATCATAAAACTCCAAACTATTTGCTTTTGATAGCACAACAATGCGCATGAATGCACATTTATTTACAGATAAAGTTCCAGAATGAGCAAATAAATAGGCCGTTTCAGATTACTGCACTTCTGTACCAAAGAAACACCTTGAAGTTAATAAAAGATAACAGATTGTCTTTCCAAATAATAAATATATCAATTCCTCCACCCCCCTCCACGCCTCCGAAAGGCGGGTCCAGAGCGGCTTCCTGAGGGGGAGGATGACGAGTAGAGGAGGGGTAATGAGGTTTGTGACCTAGCGGTGACCGAGGGGTGAGGGGAGGAGCAACGGGGAGTACCAGAGTTTTCTTCAGTTGCAGCTTTAGGCCTAGGCTTCTGAGGGGGAGGGGGAAAACGAAAGATCCAGCGCCCTTCCCTCCCCTAAACCCGTCTATGCCCTCCCTCCTCCACCCTCCCCTAATAAATTGAGGAACCGAACAGGAATTTTATATCAACACAACAGATTCGAACCAAAAATCGCAAAATGCGAAAACAGAACGCAGGTCGCTGCACTGGTCGGCTGAAGAAAACGAAAAAAAAA